TAATTTTTCTTCCTAGATTTATTTAAGTCAGCTAAATAATAATTCAAAGTGAGTATTATTCCCAAGACTCACAGCCACATTAACCTATAGTTACAGTGAGCATGGCTCAAAAGGAGATGTGGTTGCCTTTGAAAAATCCTTGGTCTATCAGTATTCACAGAGGTTTTAGTTCCAGGGAGGCTTACCCTGAGGTGGAGATGTGATCTTTCAGGATTTATTATCGTGTTAAAATTATCGTATTTTGTATGAGACTGTAAATGCAGATCTAGGCTAGGGAATTCTCTCCAATGTTCAGTGACTACAGTTCCTCTTCCGGCAAAATTCCAGACTTTTTTTTTTAATCTTTCAAGGTCTTACAGTCACCCTGCTTTGCTTCCTTTCTTTAGGTGTTCATTTTATTTCACCTTTCATTCGACATTTATTTCTTGAGCATCTACTAGGAGTGAAGTCCTTCTGTAGTTAGGGGTGTAATGGGAAACATCTCCCCTAATAGAAACTTTTATTCGTATGTAAGAATTAAATAAAGCCCATACTCTCTCTTTCTCCCTCTCACTCCCTCTCTCTCTATCTCTCTGTCTCTCTCTCTCTCTTTCTTTCTCTCTCTCTCTCACACACACACATACACTCACACACAAAGAGAGAGGGGGCGGGGAGAAGCAGGGAGGTGTGAAGGTGTCTTCATCAGAAATTCCATTTGAGAAGGAACCTGTTCCCCAGTACTTAAGAAGTAAAATTTTCCAGGTGAAAGAAACAATAACAGTGAAGTACCCAAATCAGAGAGAGGTCTGATATGACCTAGAAAAATCAACCAATATGACCAAAAGGAAAATAAGATGGAGGGTCACCTCAGAACCTGAGAGGTAGATGGATTCAGCTAACTTAAGGCCTTATTAGAAGGGTATTAGATTCTTTAGAAGGGTATTAGATTCTTTTTTGCTTTTTGGGTCACAGAATGGGTGTTATATTGGGTATTAAATTCTTTTTTACTTTTTGGGTCACACCCGATGATGCACAGGGGTTTCTCCTGGTTCTGCACTCAGGAATTACACCTGGCGGTGCTCAGGGGACCATATGGGATGGTGGGAATTGAACCCGGGTCGGCCACATGCAAGGCAAACTCCCTACCGACTGTGCTATTATCCAGCCCCCAGCTATTAGATTCTTGAGGTCCAGAAAACTCACTGGACTGAGTACAGGTTTTTCATGGCAGGAGACCCAGGTCCATCTTCACATGGTCCCCCATGCACCCCCAGCATTAACCACCAAGCACAGAGGCATAAATAGGTGGGCCATACCACTGGTTGTGGCCCAGAAAGCCAAAAATAAAATTACAAAGGGAAGGAGGAGATAAAATCTTTTAATAATTCATTTTTAGATTTTAAAAAGAGAAATGTAATAGGATTTATCATTAAAAATACAGGAGCCTAGTTTGCCCTTCATATTATAGGTTGTCAGAGGGAGCAGGACCAAGGAAGTAATAAGGCTTCTAAGGCTGCAACGTCCAGGTGTGGCACGGACTTAAGAAGCGACAGGACAGGGCTGAAGAGATAGCACAGCGGGTAGGGCGTTTGCCTTGCACGTGGCCAACCCAGGTTCGATTCTCAGCATCCCATATGGTCCCCTAGCACCACCAGGAGTAACTCCTGAGTGCAGAGCCAGGAGGAACCCCTGAGTATTGGCTGGGTAGACACAGTAGACACGGTCCTCCCGTTGTTCATTGATTTGCTTGAGAGGGCCCAGTAACGTCTCCATCATGAGACTTGTTGTTGCTGTGTTTGGCATATCAAATACATCACGGGTAGCTTGCCAGGCTCTGCTGTGTGGGCGAGATACTCTCCGTAGCTTGCTGGGCTCTCCGAGAGGGGCGGAGGAATCGAACTTGGGTCGGCCATGTTGGCCGCTTGTAAGGCAAACGCCCTACCGCTGTGCTATTGGCTGGGAGTGACCCAAAAAGAAAAAAAAAAGCGACAGGACAATTGGGGAGAGAAGGCAAGGACTAGCCTCATGCTAACTGTGGCTAGTTTTGGGCAGTTATTGAACTCTTTTTGACCTTATTTTCCCTCTGGTTTTGGGGTGATATTTATGTCCCTACAATGCCATACACATAGGTGATAAATATTTACCACACGTAGAAACATTCCTAACCATTTATAGTAAATAGTAATCAACACAAGTTTTCCAGAGTTTATTATTTGTATGGGCGAAAGCGAAAGCACAGCAGGTAGGGCGTTTGTCTTGAACACAGCTGACAGGGCCAACCCGAGTTTGATTCCTGCGCCCCTCTCAGAGAGCCCGGTGAGCTACAGAGAATATCTCCCTCTCATATGGCAAAGCCTGACAAGCTACTCGTGGCGTATTTAATATGCCAAACACAGTAACAAGTCTCACAATGTTACTGGGCCCATTCGAGCAAATCGATGAACAACGGGGTACAGTGAAAGTGAGTGATTATTTGTACATTTTTCTGAGACTTCTTTGGATCACATATTGTTTTAAAGCAAATTGTCAAATTTCCATAAATTTTATTTCTTTCAGTCATATTTCTGTTGTGATTTTTAGTTTCATTTTGTTGTGATCTGAGAGTAGGCATTTATTTCTTTTTTTAAAATGTGTGAAGGTGTCCTTTGTGGCCCAGAATCCTGATAAAGTTTTCCATGTGTGTGACCTTGAGAAAAATAAGTGTCATGCTGTAGGGGTCAGAGAGATAGTACATCACGTGAGGTATTTGCTTTGCATGAACAACCCAGGTCCCAGCACTTCTTATGGTCCCCGGAGTGATTCCTGAGTACAGAATCAGAAATAAACTCTGCTAACAGCTGGGTGTGGTCCCCAAACTAAGCAAACTAACAAAAAAAAAAAAAAGAAAAACAATTTTGTGGGCAGAGAGATAGTAGGGCAGCAGGAAGGGTGATTTGTCTTGCCTGGCCACCCTGGGTTTGAGTCCCTACACTTTGTTTAGTCCCCCAAGCACTGTCAGAAATGATCTCTGAGCACAGAACCAGGAGTAAACCTTGAGCCCTGACTCAAAATCAAACAAACAAATCATAAGTGTTCATATTCAACTGTTTGAGGGTGTAGAGTGTAGTATATATATGTTAATTATATTCCATTGGTTTGTGCTGTTGTTGAGTTTATTATGCTCATTTTGATTCTGCTGGATATATCCTTTTTCTGAGGCTAAAAAGTCTTTAGTTTCACCATCTCATAAAGATCGCTTAGAGTCTGTCTGTTTATCCTCAGTTACTTTGGATTTCCTGTTGGTTGGCACATGTATGTTAAGGGTTAGTGTTTCTCCTTGGAGAATTGACTCCTATATCATTGTGTTTCTCTATTCTTGATGACTTTTCTTGCTTTGAAGTTGGATCTTGCAAAATATTATATTGGTCCTCCTACTTTTCTTTGTTAATTTGTTTTGAATTATGGATGTAGTAGTAGTAGTAGTAGTAGTAGTAGTAGTAGTAGTAGTAGTAGCACTGTCTTCCCTTTGTTCATTGATTTGCTCGAGCGGGCACCAGTAACATCTCACAACAAATTGTGAGACTTGTTGTTACTGTTTTTTGGCATATCAAATACGTCACCGGTAGCTTTCTAGGCTTTGCCGTGAGGATGAGATACTCTCGGTAGCTTGCCAGGATCTCCGAGAGGAGTGGAGGAATCGAACTCGGGTCAGCCATGTTGGCTGCATGCAAGGCAAACACCCTACCTGCTCTGCTATCGCTCCAGTCCAGTAGTAGTAGTATTGCTATTATATATTTAATAGCACTCCAACTCTGAGAAACCAGGGCCAATTTAAATCATGTCATTGTGTTCTCATTTGCATAATTTTTATACACTAAAGGTTAGTATTGACCAGGAGAATCAAGAAATGTTTTGTTGCCTTCTCCCTCTGGAAAGAAAGATGGCAGCCACTTCGGAGCTTTGTGGAAAGCCAGGTATGAGCCGGTTGTGATGGGGCGACTGAAACCTCATGGGAAGGGGGGCATTCCCGGCTCGTCCTTCACACCCTATCGAAGTCACAAGTTTCCCCCTACGAGCGGCTCTCTGGCACGGCCATGGCTCCAGAGCACAGAAACCAATCTCATAATTATCTGACTCTCAGCAGAAATACTTCCAGGCTTAATAAGTAAAATACCAGAAATCCAAAATCGTGCGGCTGCTATTGCAGCCGCGCGACATCATTTGATTCTTGTGACCAGCTGTAGAAAACAAATTATTTCACAACGCCTTTTCAGCATGTCTGATTTGGGGGTGTAAACTCTAAATAATGAGGGTGCATCTTTTGTTGAAACAATGAATCTAATCAAAGTAGATAGAGTGTTAAGTAGAATTCATCTGCCTCACAGGCATTGGGAGAGTTGGGGGGTTTATTGGGATTCTTGGTGGTGGAAAAGAAGTATTGGTGAAGGGAAATGTGTTTGATAATTGCATGACCGAGACTTAACCTGAAAGCTTTGTAACTTTTCCCACAGTGATTCAATAAATAAATAAATAAATAAATAACAAGAAATGATTTGTTCCCCAATTCAGTTGAGTCATTTGGCAATTATTTGTAAATAGCCAGGTTTACTTCAGCATTGGCACTTGGATTTCCTCTTCACAGCAACAGCTTTGCAGGACTGTAGCTATGTTTTGAAATTTAAAACAAATGTATTGAATTGTGTTATTTAAGTAAAACTCCATTTCATTCTGTTAACGTGATTGCTACCATGCCATGCTCGCTATTCTTTAGACAGGGGTATGAGCACTGGTTGGATGAAGATAGACTTCTTAGCTAGAAAGAGGCATTAGCCTTGAGAGCCTGCTGAAATGCAGAGAATCACTCTGGCTTTCTTCAGCCTTCAGACAAGCGTTCCGGCACGTTTCCTTTTCATTTGAGTGGGTGTGCCACTTTTCTAATGGGTATTTCAATTTCACTCGGAGCTCACTTTAAGACATCACAGAGCTCCTTATTAAACCATCCTGATTCGTCTCTTCTTTTTCTGCCCCTCTTGTGTCTCTAGGTAAGTGTGAAATAGGCTGGGCTTACTACTGCACGGGAGCTGGGGCCGCTGCTGCCATGTTGCTCTGTACCTGGCTGGCCTGCTTCTCAGGCAAGAAACAGAAGCAGTACCCCTACTGACTTGGAGCCACCAGAAGCAGAGAGGACGACCTGACGGGGCTCGGAGGAACTGAGATACCCAGCAACTTTCAGGAGGAGGAATCGTGGCTCTATTCGTACTGTGCAATTGAAATGAAACCCAATGGATTCCAAAATGCTATGTAATGTAGATGTGTTCTGCAAGAATTTCAGAATTTCATGAAAGAAAAGGAGGTACTAGAGAAAATTGGACTGAAAGGCTGAAAATATTGCAGGATGTTGAGTGTTTTTCTTCCATAGGGTATTATTCATGTAGACCACATACACATGCGAAACAAATTTATGTATGCAAACGGGGGGTTTGATGGGGCTTTGCTTGAAGATGGGGACTCAGAGAAGATTCAAAAGGGCTAGTAGACACAGTATTATGTTGAGAAGCAGGGAAATCCCCAGGTGTTCCTGTAGGCCATGGCACTTCTGAAAGCACATGAGCACATACCAATGTCTGCATCTTCACACATGCCCATGCACAAGCAGAAATCACCCCACAGAGTGCACGAGAAGGTTAGTGGCACATTACGCTGGTTTTCTTTTTAATAGACATTTAAAATACAGTATTATTATACAGCATACATTCAACCTAATAAATGGACCAATATGCCACTCTATCAGTATTTTGTATATCCTACACAAACTCTTTGAGCCCTCCACTTGTCTTCAGTGTTTATGCAGACCTTTAGAGTTAAGCTTTTATAGTTCCATATTATTCAAGATATGCAATACTTCTCTGTCTGAGTAGCTTCTGCAATGATATTCTTATGAAGTTAAGAGTCAGCTTCCTGTCCATCTTAGGAGAGAGCACAGCTGAAGATAAACGAATAATAAGAGACACTTTGCCATCATTAGATCTTGTTTTCTTTTGTCCATTATTGTACTGTGTTGTGCCACACTTGTTCAATATTAATTTTGTAAAGAATTAAAAAGTGATATTTTTGTTTGTATTTGAAAAGCTCTGTGAATAAATTCTCTCTTTGGTCAATACCTAAATGAGTCATAGAATGTTCATTCAGATATAGGTCTTGCTTCTTTAATTTCCTAAATATAGCCTTTCAACTCCAAACATTCTGTAAATATTCCTTTTCCTTTTAAAGCTTCCCGGTGACTCACTCATTACACATGCAATTGCTAATTGTCCTATGAATAGGAGCCACTAAATATTCTTACTTTTTCATTTCAGTTCTTTAGAATTTTAATAACTTCCTCTTTATTGCACTTCAGTCACAGCCAAATTTTTATGAGAAAAATTACAAGTGTTTTTTAAATTTAATGTGAGACCATGGGCCAATTAAGTGTGAAAATAGGGCAGCTAGAGTTCAGGAGACATCTGAGCCAACACTTTCTGGATGGTCACAGAGTTGTCACAAACTGTCTCTACATGGCTCAGTCCTCTCTGCCTCTATAAGATGTTGCTTTTCTTCAATAATTCTGTGACATGGTAATTTCACACAATTCTCTTTCAGGGACCCTCGCCATTACAAAAGATTATCTCACACTCCTGCCCCCCAGCATCACAGCTTAACTATAACACAAAGATTTGGACCCTTTTGTGACCCCATAATAGAACTAATTCTTTCCGGAGCAGAGATTGCATACTGGATAATGTTTTGTTTATCTTTTAATTGGACCTTAATGCTGAGTTACTGCAGAAAATCCTTAAAACTTTAATTTTAATTTCTTTAAAATATTTATCTTGCTTTGTGGAAATTGAATGTTCTGGCTATTTGTGCACTCAGCTATGTTTTCTATTCTCTCTATGTGTATTTATTCATTTAACTTAAATATCATAATAGGATACTTGAATATCGTAATAGTACTTTTAATCATCCAGGGTGAGGGGTTGTGCTGCTCTGAAAGAACAATATGAAAACATGGCCAATAAAATTCTGGCCTTTCTGAGGCTTTGTTGCTATGGAGAAAGTCACTCTGCTCTCCAATGCTTAATTCATAATGTGCTGAATGTCACTTGATTGTGTCTCATTGTCCACCAAGCAGGGGTTTCTCCACTCTACGGTTTCCTGCAGCGAGAAGATTGCACTTTGTTTCCTCAATTAGCCCATCATCTTTCATATATTGCTGTGCTTTTCATAAAAACTTTTCACTGTACCTTCCTATCAGACTCCTTAGAGTACATTATCTCATTGGAATGATTTCTATGGAATTATCTCTATGGAATCCAGGAAGGTCTAATTTCTCAGACAGATTTGATGATGGTATTATTGTGTTTGTATAATCTACATTCTTTTAGACATTTCATTGGCAAACTTCAGTTGAATAAAAACCTCATCAATCTGACATGATGAAGTCAAATGCAGATCCTTAAATCTATCCATGTTTTGTTTTGTTTTTTATTGTTGTTCAAAATGTTAGCATATTTCATGAGAAGCATCTGATTTACTTAGAATTATAGATAATGTCTTTCAAATAAAGAAGGATTCAAATAAAGTGAAGTAAGAGGGTAGATGACAAATTCCAGATGATCTCACTCTTCTGTATTATACTGAGTAACATTAACCCTATTGTGATCATGTTACCAAGATACAGTAAAAATTTTTAAAAATTAAATGAAATTTTTAGTAAGTAAGTAAAGGCCCTCCCGTTGATCGTCGATTTGCTCGAGCGGGCCCAGTAATGTCTCCATTGGAGACTTTGTTGTTACTGTGTCTGGCATATCAAATACTCTCGGTAGCTTGCCGGGCTCTCCGAGAGGGGCGGAGGAATCGAACTCGGGTCGGCCATGTTGGCCGCTTGTAAGGCGAACGCCCTACCCGCTGTGCTATCGCTCCAGCCCATTAAAGGTAAAGGCCCTCCCGTTGTTCGTCGATTTGCTCGAGCGGGCCCAGTAATGTCTCCATTGGAGACTTTGTTGTTACTGTGTTTGACATATCGAATACTCTCGGTAGCTTGCCGGGCTCTCCGAGAGGGGTGGAGGAATTGAACTCGGGTCGGCCATGTTGGCCGCTTGTAAGGCAAACGCCCTACCACTGTGCTATCGCTCCAGCAGTTTAAAACTTAGAAAATAAAAATTCATGAAATATATTAAGAATTACAACAAATTTATGAAAATTATTCAAAGATTATTCAAATAACTCAAAATTATTCACGTGTTGATGTATATTTAAGGGCCTTAAGAAGCTTATTTTTCACAGACTCTTGAAGTTTTTATTGCTTGCACAAGTTTTAAGGTAAAATAGAATTTATCTTGCTTTTAGGAAGAAGCAATGACATAGAGATTAATTGATGAAATTTACTTTCAATTTCCAGTAGGTCCATTTATTTATTTGGGGGTACCTACTACTTGCCAGCATGTCACTCACTATAAAACTATAGAAAACAAAGCTCCTGTTTTCAAGTTGTTCCCAAGCTAGTAAAGTAAACGAAGCAAGAGTATCTGTGATCACCATATTCTATGATGTCAATCATTTACAGAGACAGGGCTGAACTGCTTCCCAGGAAGAGTTTCCACACATTTTCAAAAAGATCTGAAGAAAATAAAAATGATCAATTACAATTTTCTGCTCTTTGTCACCATAAACATGGATTTCTTCCTGAGTTTGTGGGTCCTTGCATAATAGAAAAGACTTGTATACAAAACCCAAGATGCTTCTGAAGTTCTAGTTTACTATACAGTCTATATAGGTGGTCCTAAGATCCCTCCCCAAATTCTAGGTCTCTTTCTCTTTACCAGAGCATGATATCACTTCTTCTATACTTCCACTTCTCCAGTCCATTGTACCACTTCTCAGTCCTGTCCTTTTGCTATCCACTGCCTCCCGTGCATGTTGACTTGGTCCTCTTCCTCAGTATACTCCTCTGTGTTGGCGTCCAAGTCTGAGATCAGTGGTGGAATACTACCCAATGGCCTTTTGCTGGTGCTTGCAGCTGTATATGGGTCACTGAGCCTCTTGTGAGCTAGAGCCAGCAGTGTTCTGGCTACATGCCATGTGGGTGCACGGTGTGCTACCTTCCTGCCATCTGCCCCAACATCAGTGAGGGGTCAAAGAGAAGCCAACATTTTTGTGGGGGGTCAAAAAGGAAGTTGTCTCACTGGGAATCCTTTTTTTTATCTCTTACAATTTTCTTTTCCTCATCCTAGACATTCCATTATCTGTGGTGACTGCATCCTTTCCAGTGGATGATATTTAAGTGGACCAATGAACTAGATTACCTGGTTATCTAGTTAGTCTTTGATAACCTCCCCTCCACTTCCAGCATAAAAGTTTAAAACACATTATTAAGAAAATGAAAAGATAAACCAAAGATCAGGGAAAATCCATATCTACAAATTCAGAAAACCTAAGAAATATCCTCAAATTCATCATAAAATGGCAATTAACTTCTCAAATGGATACAAGCGAGATGATTCACATAAAAGGATGATACAAATGCCAATAAGCAGAGTTCTCGATATCATTAAACAAGAAGAAAATGAAAGTTAGAGCCACACTGAAACACTATTTAACATACATTAGGATGATGGAAATTGAAATGTTAATACAAAATGCTGCAGGGGATAGTAATACATGGTTGGATAATCATTGAGCAGTTTCTTATGTTAATTATAGTAATTCCCCTTCTAGGTGTTTATGCCAAAAACAAATCTATGTTCATGAGAAAGATTGTATAGGAATGTTAATTTGCCGAAGTCACAATAAACCTAAATTAAAAACAACTTAAATTTCCAGTAGTACATAACAAATCATGGTTCAAAATACCAGAAACAAGTGTTGGGGGACATGTGAAGAAAGGACACTTTAACTGCTGTTGAGAATATAAACTGAGTCAGCCTCAACAGGTAAAATGTGGAGATTTCTCAAAAAATTTAAAACAACTGCCATAGGACCCTGATGTCCCACTTTTAAGAACCTACTCCAGGAACACAAAAACACTTATTCAAAGAGACAGTGCATGTGCAAATTTACTGCACAGCGGGTAGGGCATTTGCCTTGCACTCGGCCAACCTGGCTGACCCGGTTTCAATTCTTCTGCCCCTCTCAGAGAGCCCAGCAAGTTACCGAGAGTATCTCACCCGCACGGCAAAGCCTGGCAAGTTACCCGTGATGTATTTGATATGCCAAAAACAGTAACAAGTCTCATAATGGAGATGTTACTGGGCCTGCTCGAGCAAACCGATGAACAATGGGAGGACAGTGTTAGGACAGTGCTACAGTGCTACATTAGCTACTATTAGCTGGGTGTCTGTGGTAACACCTTGTTCCCATATATTTATGCTCTTGCATATTGATATTGCCTTTCAAGAAATCATAGTATAATTAAGCAGGGGAATATAAACTGTCAATGAAAGAGTGTGGAGTTCTGGTATGCACAGCACAAATGAATTCTATTAAATTAAGCCTAGCAAGCTCCCCGTGACGTATTCGATATGCCAAACACACAAAAAACAAGTCTCGGGGGTGGGAGGGATATTATCCATGGTGGTGGAAAATGGGCACTGGTGGAGGGATGGGTATCTGATCATTGTATAATTGAAACCAAAGCACAAAAAATTGTAAATCTACAACTTTAAAAAAATAAAATAAAATAAAGGGGGAAAAAAAAAAAAAAAAAAAAAAAAAAACAAGTCTCACAATGGAGTTGTTACTTGGCCCGCTCAAGCAATTCGATGAACAATGGGAGGACAGTGCTAATTTGAATTAAGGAAAACACACATAGGCGAAATTAATGAGTTATAGAAATCAGGACAATGATTGCTCTGAGTTGATTTACTGGTGAGGACATAGGGAACTCCAGGGGTGATGGAAATGTTCTAGATAGTGATTAATGTGGTAGTTACATCGATGTTAACTCTTGCCAAAATACATCCATTCATACAATACATGCACTTAAAGTTTTATGGTATATTAATGGTCCCTGAATAGAAAGAAGGGAAAGTACTGTATACATGGAACTCCGTCTTTTACAGTGTTATAAATCATAGTATCTAAAAAAAAATTAAAATATTTTAAGATTAAAGTAAATTGGGG